TTTTGTAACTCCTCCCCTTCCTTCTCCCTTCATTCCTCTCTTCTCCCCTCATCTCACCTTTCTTCCCTCTCTCACTCCCATTCTTCTCAGGTCGTAAGTTCATTCTCCACACTCCCTTTTACACCTGAAGACATAAAAAGTTCACAAGATGTAATGACTCATGGAACTCTGAAGGATGTACCACAAATTGTCTCACCGTCATCCAAGCAATTATCATTAACTCCCAATTCATCAACAAAAGAAGACATAACAGTCACAGAAAATAATGACACACTTCAGGATTTTTAGAAAGCCCCCCCTCTGCTATAAGAGGTGGGGGCTTAAATCTTGTTGACTGGTCAAGAACTGCTAGAAAAAGAAAAAAATTACAAAAAGCTGGAGGTGATCCTCAGCAAGAAAAAATCACAACCTATTTAAAGGTTATTGATGAAATATCTTTAGTAGCAAAAAGAAATGAAAAGTTGAGTACCATATTAAAGCAATGTTTAACAGTCCAAGACACAACAGATAGTACACCTGAATGTACTTCATCTACATGTCAAATTACGCCAATGCTACAGCATATCATGGAAAATGTCAAGAGAAATTCAAATAGACTTGACCATGGGCGGAGACATTCTTCTGAACTAAAAAAGTTTGCTACTATCCTCTTAATCAATGCTGGTCCAATGGCATATGAATTTCTTCATCGCAACATGTCAGAGGCATTGCCTTCCCTGAGAACAGTGCAGGGAATAATTCATTCTGATTATCAGCAATTTCGAGAAGGACATTTCAGATTTGATCAGTTGTTGCAGCATTTACATAAATATAATGCACCTCTTTTAGTCACTGTTGCAGAGGATGCCACCAGAATAGTCAAAACAGTTGAATATGATCCGTCAAGTAATATTTGTGTCGGCTTCATGTTACCTAATAATGATAAAGGTATACCAATTATCGATTCATTCACCGTTTCTACATTCAATGATATTGAAAAATATTTCACTACGGCTACTATTTGTTCGTATGCATACGTTTTCACTGTACAACCACTTAAAGAAGGGTCACCATCTTTCTGTTTAGGCTGTATAGGTAGCAACAACAAATTTACAGCATTAGATGTATTGCATCGCTGGCAATACATATACACTGAATTAGCAAAAAGGGGAGTAAGAGTTATTAATTTTGCTTCTGATGGTGATAGTAGACTCCTAAGGGCAATGCGTGTATTGTGCCACTTCACTCTCGAGGATAAAGAATTATCATTAAACACTGAAGAAACATCAATTCACACTCCACAATTGAAAAAGTGGCTCTGTACAAAGTTGCATCACATACTTGGAGTGCAGGACATGGTACATATAGGTGTTAAAATGAAAAGCCGTCTACTTAAGCCCTCAATTATATTACCAATGGGACATTTCATTGCTACTCCAGCCCATCTGCATATTTTGGTCACTCTCTATGGTAAAGAAGTGCATGGCATTAGACAAAAGGATTTAGACCATAAAGATAAACAGAATTTTGCTGCAGTGGAGCATCTTATTAAATGTTCAAAGCACTTAAGCAACATACCAGATGCAATTGCAACGAAATGTTATCTGGAGTTGATCGATTCAGCAATCAATAGCTATTTAGACAAAAGCTTCACACCAAAAAAAAGACTAAGTGAAATCTGGTTTGCTACTTTCTTTCTTAGATATTGGAGACAGTGGATTATGCTTCACCGATCATTTACAATTAAAGATAATTTTATTACAAGTAATTGTTACACATGTATAGAAATAAATGCGCACTCCCTCCTCTCATACATCATTATGCTACGAAATGATAATTACTCACCTGAGCACTTTACTCCATACATTATGGGTTCTCAAAGTTGTGAGAAATTGTTTCGATCATTAAGAAGTATGTCGAGTACTTTTTCAACCGTCATAAACTTCAGTATGCTAGGTCTGCTGGAGCGTCTTCATAAATTGGTCATAAAAGAAGATATAGAGTCACAATCTGAAAGAAACAGTCACCAAATTAAATTTCCTAGACTAGAGAAACATGAGAAAAAAACAGGACATGGAGAAACTAAATGTAATGAATTACATTTAAGTGATGAGGAAATATTTGGTGTACTAGAGGATTCACAAGAAAGGGCCAAGAACATGATCGACATTCTGGGAATGGCAGATGTTCTAAAGGAGAAAAATAACTGGGATATACCACCAATTCCTAAAACCTTACTCAACAATGTCTTGCTAAATGATGATGATGACTGTGACAATGGAGAAAATGAAACAAATGAGAATATTAAGGTTTTGGATTCTACTTCACTAAAAGAAGTGGTTGATGATGTCAACAGATTACATGCCAGCCATATTGTTGATGTTAAATTGTTGAATAAAGTCAAAAATCAGTTAGAGAAGGTAGAACAGGAGAGCTTAGTTACGTTTAAAATGGGTGAACAAAGTAAGGAGTCCTTGTTTGTTACTGTCAAATCTGGTCAAAAGGAGGTGTCAATACGTAAACGTACAGCAGTTTGGCTTTTTAATGACTGTGAAAGAGTTTCCACCGACAGATTATTTCGAGTACGAGAGAAGCAGCCCACAGAAGCTGTAACAAAAAAGGATTCAACAATTGTTAATTTAAGCCAGACACAACACTCTCCAATATTCAGTGAATACATTGTCGTTGGGGATGTATGTATTTTTCAAATTAATTCAGATGTCTTGCTTGGAAAAGTCCTTCAGTTTGTTAAATATGACATGAAGGGGAAAAAGCAGAGTTGCAAATTCTATTATGCTTGTGTCTCAGATAGGTTTGGTGTCTTGTGCACTTGGTATAGCATTAGTAAGAGACAATGTAAAATGGTGAGTACTGGTAAGGAATATGTTGATATTATGTCATATAAAGGCACTTTAACACCTACCTGTATTGAAGAACTAAGTATGGCATCATCAATTATTTCACTCCCTCAAGAGTTTACAATTACTCTCAACTGCCACAGCTTTATTGCTTCTATTTGGTCCTCAGTAACAAATAACAGTGCTTCTATAGATGAAGGTAACCATAGCTCAAGTCTTGAAACACCTACTCCTACTACACATTCAGCTTCATCTCCCTCCTCTTCAAATGTAACTCCACCTCTACCAAAAAAAGAGAGAAATAAAGCATGGATACTAATTGACAAACTACAGTTGACGGACAAAGATGAATCACTTATAGCAAATGGAAGGAAACTGACAGATGTGCATGTGCAAGCTGCTCAAATTCTCTTAAGAAAGGCATTTCCCTATGTAAGTGGTCTGCAAAACACATGTTACCAATTAAAGAAACAACTTACCAAAGTGGATGAGGTAATACAGATTGTCCATGTCAATACTAACCATTGGGGCGTCTTTAGTACCTGCAAGAGGTCAACACCACAGCAGAGTTTAGAGGTAAACTACTATGATTCTGTATATTCTAAACTCCCACAAACTGCTGAGGACATCATTTCGTTTCTTCTTTCGAAAAATAATTTGACTCATGCTATTGTTAAATGCATTCCAGTTCAAAGACAGATGGGCTCCACAGATTGTGGTTTATATGCAATAGCCAATGCAACAGCTCTAGCTTATAAAATAGAGCCTGAGTGTCTCTTATACGAGCAAGGAGAAATGAGAACACACCTCATTCGATGCTTTCAAAGTAGGAAAATGGAGCCATTTCCTGTGAAACGAAAGAAACACCTTTTAGTCACATCTTTTTTTGAAGTCAGGCTCTATTTCTGTCCAATTTGTTTTGGAGAAGACAATGGTTCTGAAATGGTGGAATGTGATTCTTGTCATACTTGGTATCATAAATCTTGTGTTGCTCCATACAATATTGCTGAAGTGTGGTATTGTTTAGCTTGTAAATAATTTTCAAAATTCATGTTATCATTATAGCCTAGTTGAGACAGTTTACTTACTTGTGTTTTTCATGTAATAAATATGTATTTGACAACTATATATGTGCTGTAGCAAAATGAAAATCATGATTATTTCACAAAACCTAAAAGAGAATCAAGATAATCCATAAAAATCTTTTAAAATCAGGCAATCTTATAATCTAATAATCTTCTAAAATCAAATAACCTGTTAGTAATCTCATAATCCACAAATAATCTGACAATCTCCAAAAATCAAATAATCTACTGGAAATCCGGAAATCAGCAATAATCCGTAATCTCGTACAGCTCAAAAGGGAGTTGCGGACCCCTCGACATAAAGTGACATAAATGGAACTGGTATGTCTGTGACACTAAACTTTTTGTGCAATGTCTTCAGGAGAATCACAATCCATGTTTATATTAACTGGGAAGGAACCATGGAAAGGAGTTTCAATTACAAAAGTTTCCTGACCTATACTTTATTTAATTGTTACATTTAGATTACTTTTGAGTCTTACCTATTTTATGATTTAATTTAGGTAATGAAATAAATTCCTTTATTTTATGTGGTTGCTCTTTTGATCGTCTTAATACATAAAATAAGTCACCATCATCTGTTTTCCATGACCTTAGAGTGCCTAGTATAATGCATAACTGGATGGATGCAGTTAATATTTAATAATTGGGGCGAGCATGAGCGAGACCCACACTAATCTGTCTAGGTCTATTTGCGTTACGTCTTGTTTATGAACGGAAGAATACGAAAATTAAATTAGTATACTATTATTGATAAATTTGGACCACGTGGGCAAAATTAATCTAGAGGGTGTGGTCAAAAAGAGCAAGATGGCGGAAATTTCATGTCCAGCAATGAGTGGTCGCGGATTAGTATACTGAGCAATTATCTCCGTATACTACTGGTTGACTTTATACAGGGCAGGAATGGACATTTCCATTTACTAGGCTATATCTTTCTTCAGAATAAGTCTCATCAATTTGCGCACTTCAGTAGTTGTTCTCCATAATTATACCTGTGTTCCTGCTAAATATGACAGCACTTGGAGTAACTTTGTGTGGAACATTTGCAGATTAAAGATGAGGGCAGTCAGTGCCGCCATTTTGTCATTCCTTTATGTATGCATGATAATTTTTTTACTTTTTGAATGGTTATATCTAAATTTTAAACAATTTTTGACAAATTGCGCACTTATTTTGTGAAAGTACAACATTTTTACTGCCCAATCATGCAAAAAAGATAAAGAAATTCAAAACTTTGTTCGGTACTTTAGTCTTCTAAAGGTGAAATAATTTTAGTTGTCTCAGTGATAACGGGTGCAGCAACAAGAGTGAACAAGTGCTTTTCTCTTCTCACGGGAATAATAAAGTAAAACTAAGAGTGCTTAACAGCTATACAAGCAAATCACGTCTCTAGATCCTTTTAAAGTAATAACAAGAAGGCCTTTTGTTAGTGGATGAGTCTTCTTGCGCCACTCCTGCCACTTTAACAATAGAATATGAAAAAACTACCATAACCAATTGCATTAAGTAGCATTCAAGAAGCTCCAAGTATCTAGTGAGGTCCCATCCATGAACCAGAAAGACGTTAGCAGGCTTTGTAGTGAAGCGTCCTATCAATCCACCATTGCTGAGCTGCCGTTGCTATGGTAATTCCAATGAATATCATTAAATCAATGCGACCGGAAGTCCCATTGCAATAGCTGGACATGTTAACGTGACAAACTCATGGATTGAGTTTCTAACAGTTAGATAAGAGAGAGGGGCTGTCTAAAGCATCTCTAAAGGCTGAAGAACTTAAAAGCAGTTTGATCTAAGACTTCTCTAGATTATATTCCTCTCATTGAAAGAATTATAATTGTGAGAGAAGCTTGATTAGAAGTTTAGCTTGGCACTGGCAGGACAGTTCATTCTTGTCTTTTTTACTGGGTCATTTTGGTCAGTTGTGTTAAATGGTGTGTTTGCTCTGTTCAGACCCTGTTGGGCCAT